TGTAGTGTTGTTAATTTATTTTTGGTCTCCTATATCTTAAGCAATAAGTATAAAGAGAATCTATATATTTATACACTAAACGTAAAGAAATCTTTTACTTATGCAAGATAAATATAAATAAACAAATAAATATTTATTATTTAAAAAAGAAAGATAAAAAATTTATATTTGTAAAATAAAGATGGACAAATTCTTAGTATTTAGTTTGTAAAATAAAGATACAATAAGTAATAGAGCATTCTGTTTTTGATCGAAACACAATCTTTAATTTTTAAAATGCAGCTCCTGAAAAATTATGATATCATAGAGAGAAATCGAATAAATAAAAATTTGTTTTAAATATTTTTTCACATAGTAGTTTCGATTTCTCAGTATTCTCTCACACATCAAATTGATTTTCATAAGAAAAAATATTGATTAAGGGACTCTTCTACTGCATTAAATATTTGTTAATTTATCTTTCACAGAATAAAGTCTTTCTTCTTATTTATTTTATTTCTTATTGTATTATATACAGATTTACTTTATGTTTGTTCTAGAATTATGAAGATTGTAGTTATACTTATTGCATAAAGAAAAGATAAAATAAGATCCTAATCACAATAGAGTTGGTAAACTCTGCTCTGTTTCAATTTGAACTCTTACAATTTTGTCATATTTCTAGAAATAATATCACTAGCCAGTATTTTTTATCTGTGGTGTAGTAACAAACTGCTATTTTCGATTTTCTTATATAATTCTTTCATTTAAATATCGATAGTCTCAGGTTAACTTTTTCGTTTTCAAATGTTAATTAAATTACCCTTTTGAATCTGTTGATGTGTCTTGTTTTTTACTGTCTGTCCGCAAGTCAAGACTACTTTTAACAGTCAAGTTTTAACCATGACATAAACAATATAATCTTATGCCAAACATTTTTGATCGTTGTGTAGCTGCACGCATATCATTCCCATTGTCACTTACAAGTGCAACAATTTTTGATTGAAGTTCAAACCTTAATTAATGAAAATAAAACTTCATCAATTTAGAACAACATATATTTATATATATATATATATGACGAAGTCTCTTCTAGTCAGTTGTCTCAACTTTTCTTTGAATCATTTAGCTTTTACAATATATGAAAAAAATATAATACGTTATCAATTATAGCGCTCATGCAATGCTGACGATTTGCTAATGTTGGGTTAAAATGCTTCCACCTAATGATAAACGTCTTGCTGACTATCAAGTCCTTCTACTTCAAAACTTATGTAGTTGATAAACATTAAAGTACACTAAGAAAAAAATGAATTATAGAACTGCTTTAAACATAATTTATCTTTAAATTAATTAACTGACTTATCGACGATTATATTCGTCATTTTCAGAGCGACATACAGCACAATATGCATAGATATATAGAGTATTCAAATCTCATATAACAACACTCGGTTCGAGATTACTTTTTGCTGTCACAAGAACGAATTTCTGTCAAGTCTCAAGACTTAGAAAACACCTTATATAGATACACATATATCTATAAGTGATGATAGAAACAGTGACAGAAAAGAAGCGAAAGACATAATTCAAATGCTGATGGAGAAATCTTATACATAAAAAACTCAAATCCTATATAAAAAAAAATAATTCAGAAGTTATTGTAATGGATGTAGTAATATATTAATCTTATTCAAACGATGTCAGACCTTTGAAAATCAGCACCATTGTTGTAGATCTGCTCTGATTCATTATCTGATACTATGTAATAGAAATTTTACATAAACAAATAACCTTCTGATTGTGACATAGAATAACTTTTATAAAATAGATCAACTTTAGTCAATGTCTTTATTGTATCATCACAAGCACCAGCAATTCTATAACATGAAAGGATAATCAGCTAATTACCTATTGACCAAACGAGTTAAATGTCTTCTAATTCTTGTCGATAAGTGTCGACCATGAAACCGTCTAAAACTAAGAACTTTAGATACATTACGATAATTTCGATCAAGGTAATGGACGGTAACATGTAGATAGTGATGTCTCTTTGGACGTCTTCATAAGTCGGTCGTTAAACAAACATCATGTACTTGTTTTAATTCTTCTTGTAATTCTAACAATTTCGTTGAATATAATTTTTTAATCGTCCTTTTGACTGTACCTGGTACTGCTGTTGACAAAAACTTTTTCATACCTAAATAAATTTTTTTATACAGAATATCTATTTCAGATGATATTTGTTTTTAATGAAAGTTTTAGCCAGTAGATTCCAAAATGCCTTTTTATTATTTTAGAGTATTGCAGTTAACGGGATAACACTATGTTTGCGTTAAAACAATCAACGCTATTTATTACGTTTCTTTTTCTTGATATGATTGAAATTTATACTTTATCGTTCTATAATTAAATTAAATCTTTTCCGCTTCCCCTGAAGCCCTCAATGAATGAACCAATTGAAATCGATGTTGATCAATAAAGAATAAGTATTAGTGGATCAGATTAACATGCACGCTAGTCTTTTTCCATTAATGGATCTGAAGCTATCTGATGACTGAGGAGTTGCATCTAGTTATAGATCTTCAGACGACACACTATTTCTTTATATTTATCTTTTTGACGTCAAGAATTCTTTTTTACTTTTATTTTATGAATATAAAGTTTTTGTTTATACTAGTTATGACTAAAATAAAAATAAAAATAGATTAGCACCCTATACCATAGTGATATATATATATCTTCTTCCTATCGCACATTTTGTTATGATATACAACTTTTCACTTTTGCCATGGAAGAGTTGACCTCGAGTAAGATGTTTCCAATCTTGTTGGACGATTTATAAAAGCGGAAGGCAGTTAGAAAAAAGATAGGTTTTGATATCAGAATAATATTCTCTTATTAAAAAACAAGAAGTAATTTCAACGATTTTCTGCAGGTATAGCTTTATTTATATATGAAAAAATTGGTTTCAGAACTTTAGAGAACTCTCAAAAATAACTACGGAGCGGATGGCACATGTCACAAGTTTACGTATGATCACGTAATCATATGCAGAAAGACTCAATGAACAGTAACAGATTCTGAAAGACTAAAAATCTATAAAAAATGTCTTCGAATCAGACGAAAAATGTTAGATTATTGTCGAAAAATGAAGATATTAATGGATTACTTAAAACTAAGCAATTCGTTCGCCGAAAAAAGCATGCAGTTTTTAAAAGCAAACAGAGCACTACGTAAACATTTAAATATCCTAAGCGTTAACCGACACTAATTTTATATTCAAAATAGAAAAAAAAGTGCATTCAGACGTACCAATCTTACGGAAGTCTCCAAATGGTCTACTATCAACTATAATGCAATTAATAGCCGCTTCATCTAGTACAGCTTTACGATACGCATCAAATTGATTATTTGATTCGGTTTCATCATTTTTTTATTTAAGTTCAGATAGACCATTCACGTTAACTAAATGTTGTAAAACATTTTCATTTAAGCTAGCACTACAGCGAATAACCTAAATAAAAGACCGAAGGTACAAAACAATGACAATGGTTACAGATCTAGTACCTTGGAGCATACAGTACACATGTATTCTGTACTTGATATTTTATCAGCATAAGAATGAATACTGGAAACTAGCCGTTTTTTGCTTCACACCGGTTCATCAGCTTCGTCACTGTTTATATCACTATCTCTGTCATGAAGACGAGAGTTTTTTGATGTCATACCTATCGACTGTGTACTTTCGAGTGTTGTAGACGATCTACTACTAGTTATATATTGAAGACCGTTT